AGGAGACTATGGAGAACCTGGATCTGCTGGACCAAATGTAACACCCATGTCCCATCTTCCTAATAATATATATGTCTCATGGTTTACAAAACAATCTCAAACAGTTTCTGTAACAACTGTAACAGTTCGTTTGATGGCTGGCATTGTGTTTTTTTCTGTTGTACCTGTGCATGCCTCTTTATGAGTGTCACGTTTGCTCGGCTGCACCTGCCTCTCTCACCTCCCTCTCTTTGTTTTTCGGTTCCTGATCACGTCACCTTGAACACCTGCCACTCGTTTCCTTAATTGACACCAGCTGTTTTCACTCAGTCCTTCACCTTATTTATACCCCATTCACTTTTCACTCCCTTGCCAGGTCGTCGTGTTTTCAGGCCAACAACCAGCGCCATTCTCTTACTTCTTCTCATAGTCTTTGTTACCACTGGTTTTTGTTCTTTCAGTTTGTCTACCCTGCTTTATTCCTTGTCCATCCCCCACGGACTGTTCTCCTCCGGACCATTACTCCACTCCACCCTTCCAGCCTCCACCACCCAGGTCGGTACACAGTCATCGGATCCCATCTACCACCCACCGGCCAGACCGGGAGTGACCCTAGCGTCCGCAGCTAAGCCCATCTCATCATTCCCTTCATTGACTGTTTTGTTTCACTCGCTGATCAGCACCCGGTCCTACTGTTTCCTTATCTTCTTATCAACCATACCACGTCACCTATATATATATACTGTACAGCACAATAAATCTGTTTGCACTGAAGTCAGCTATCTGGGTCCGCTTCTTCAGTCACTCACGGGAGGGTGAGTGATTCTAACAGAATGAACTGGCCAACATGGACTCTGGTGCAAGCAGCTCTCCAGCTGACACCCATTTTGTTGTGCAGCTGGAGAGTATGGCTCAGGCACTGCAGCAACAACAGGACATCATCACTAACCTCATGCAGCAGATAGCCAGGCTCACCGCCATCTTGGATCTCCAGACCTCTCCATTTACACCCCCGGCTTATCCTTCCCTTCTTCCAGTACCGCTATCCGTTCTCATAGCCCCCGCCGGGATCCTCCGATTCCTGAACCAGACACATTCGATGGCAGCGTCGATAAATGCCAGGGGGTTTTGCTGCAGTGCCGCCGGGTGTTCGATCAGCAGCCCCAGACTTTTCGCACAGATAGAGAAAGGATCAACTATGTCATCAATCGTCTGCGTAGAAAAGCTCTTGCCTGGGCCGAAGCTGCGGATGCTCGAAGACTATTGCATGGTTCCACCATTATGGACTTCTTGAACGACATAAGATCAGTATTCAGTTTTGGCTATGGAAGCCGGCTGGGAAGACCAGGCACAACATACTGCGTTTTGGCATGGTTTGAACAACAACATTAAGGCTGAACTGAGCACCAAGGAATGAGCCCCCTGATCTCCGCTCCCTAGTAGACTTGGCTATCCGGATAGACATTCACCAGTGCTCTTTCCTTGCGGAAAGGCAGCAGTCGGCCACCCAGGTCCATCCCATTTCCTCTCCTCCACACGAGGCATGGAGGCCTCACACCATGGAAGCAGCTAACAGTGGCTCCTCCAGAGCTTCGGAGGAGCCCATGCAGCTAGGGCGTGCCCATCTGGACCCTGAAGAACGGGCCCGCCGTATCCGCACCGGGTCCTGCCTGTACTGTGGAGCCCCTACCCATCTCATCGCCGCCTGCCCGGTGCGGCCAAAAGAGCAGGCCCGCCAGTGAGAGTGGGGACACTGATGGGCTGCCCCTCCACCTCCACCAAATCGGGTACCTGTTGTACTCTTCCTGTACTCCTGGAAACCTCCGGCCGGGTGTCCTCGCATCGAGCACTCACCGACTCCGGAGCAGGGGGCAACCTCATGGACCCGGTTCTGGTGGAGCAACTGGGTCTTATTCCCGAACCGCTGCCCTACACCATAGAGACCCAGGCCATTGACGGCCGGCTGCATGCCCACATCACCCATCAGACACCGTCTCTTTGCCTCACCATTGCCGGAAACCAACAGGAAGACATCCACTTCAACATCATTTGTGGCTAATGAATTCCTGTGGAACACCTTGTGGTCCTTGCTTCTTATCCTGATTGGCTTTTACTGATAGCCTGGCTGTCTATTTATGCCCATATACAGTTGAAGTCAGAAGTCTACTAACACCTAAGCCAAATACATTTAAGCTCAGTTTTTCACAACTCCTTAACATTTAATCTTATAAATGTCTTAGGTCAGTTGGGGTCGCTATTTTATTTTTGAAATGTCAGAATAATAGTAGAGAAAGATTTATCTCAGCTTTTATTTGTTTCATCACATTCCCAGTGAGTCAGAAGTTTACATACACTTGGTTAGTATTTGGTAGCACTGCCTTTAAATTGTTAAACTTGGGTCAAACATTTCAGGATGCCTTCCACAAGCTACAGTATTTACAATAAGTTGCTGGAATTTTAGCCCATTCATCCTGACAGAACTGGTGGAACTGAGTCAGGTTTGTAG